AAATGTTCAGTAACTTTTAGCTCTATTCATGGAATTGTTCCCAAAACACCACCAGCATCTGCATTTACATTCCAGCACTCTGCCTGATAGAATTGAACTACTTATACTCCTATTTAAAGCCACACTTTCTACTTGAGAAATGAATCTCACCCCTTCTTTTCTGCTCAAGGCTGTTGCCCAAGCAGTCCCCTCTCTTTTGACCTATATTGCCAATTGCTTCCTCCTCTTGGATCATTCCCATAGGCATATACACATTCTGATGTTTCAACCTTCTTACAAAGAAAACTCTCTTCACCCCCAATTTCTTGCCAGCTACTTCCCCATCTTGGTTTTATTTATGTGTTTGTTTATCCAGTTGCTCTCCTTTGAAAGAAAACTTCAAAACAACTGTTCATACTCATTGTTTCTGGTTAGTCTTGTCTCTTGCTTTCTTAAACCCACCATAGACTGGCTTTTTCCCGTACCACTTCAATAAAAGTGCTCTTGTTAGTGTCACCAGTGACCTTAATGTTGCCAAACCAGTAGTCAGTTCTCAGTCCTTGTCTTACTCGACCTATAACCAGCATTTGACATAGTTTGACCTTCTTTTCCTTAAAGTACTTTTTTAAAGTCTTGACTTTCTTCCATAATCTTTTTGCTTTGCTCTCTTGGACTCTTTTGTGGGTTCTAACTCTTCTGTCAGATCCCTTAAGGTTAGAACACCATAGCATGCTCAGTTCTTTGTTCTTTTTTGTACTTTTACTCACTCCCTTGGTGATCTCATCCACTCATTTGCTTAACACCCCATTTATATATGGAAGGCTATCATATTTATATCTGCAGCCCAAGCTTCCCTCCTAAGTCCAGATTTAAATATCTTGACCTGGTATTATCACTAGAATACTTCAAAGACATCTTAAACTTAACATACTCAAAATTTAACTCCTGATCTGCCCCCCAAACCTTCTCTATCCCCAGTGTTCCCCATATCAGTTGATGGCAACACCATCTTGCCAGTAGTTCATACCAAAATTCTTATAGTCATCTTTGACTCTTTCTCTCAAATCTTACTCTGTCAGGAAATTCTCATGGTTCAGCCTTAGGAAGATGTCCAGAATCTAACCACTTTCAGTCAATGTATTACTATAACCCTTTCTTGATTGGATTACAGCAACAACCTCCCAACTTGTCTGTTTCATTTTCTACCTGTTGTCACCCTAAAGTCTATTTTTATTATAGCAATCAGACTGATCTTATTTAATTAATTTATTTTTATTCTGAAGTATATTTATATCCCGCCTCTGCTCAAATTCTTGCAATGAATCCTATTTTATTCAAGTAAGAGTCAACGTCTGGGCAATGGGCTTCAATAAGCCCTACATAAGCTGGCCTCTCCATTGTCTCTCTGACATCATCATCCTCTACTGCTCCCTGATTTACTCTTGCTATGTCTTAAATAACAGATGTCTTAAATAGACCTTAGGACCTTGGCACCAGCTTTTCTCTCTGTATGCCGTACTCTTCCCACAGATGTCTGCGTGGACCACTGCCTTAGCTTTGTCCAATCTTTGGTGAAATGTTGTCTTCTTAATAAGACACTTGTCAATATTACCCTGTTAAAAATTCCAAGCTGTTTCCATACATACTGCAATCTTTGGAAAGAAAAGAGTACAGTTAGTTCTGTGGCTCTTCTCTAGACTCAGAAATGCCTGGTGATTTGACCCTCCCTATAAGTCTTCTTTCAGCAAGGACTCAAGAAACTTTTAGGTGTTCATCTGTACTTCCTCCAAGAGAACTCAGCTGAAGTTACTAGGTAGCAAGCACTGATGTGTGCTTTATTACAGGCATATATCATGCACTGATATGTATTAATATTTTATTGTTGAGACTGGTACTGGTGGCGATAGCTGCTCTAGAAAAATGAATAGAAGTTCATGCTGTATCCCTAAAAAACTGCTCAGCTAGCAAGGTATAAGGAGAAGGAATCACCTACCCAGCATCACCTATCATTGCCACACATATCCTGGGTGTTCAGTGACTTTCTAATATTAGAGATGGCCTGGGAGTTGGCTCTGCTGGTGCTGTATGTACTCTTTTGTTACCTAACCTTTCTTTCTTTCTTTCTTTCTTTCCTTCTTTCTTTCTTTCTTTCTTTCTTTCTCTTTCTTTCTTTCTTTATTTCTTCCTTCCTTCCTTCCTTTCTTTCCTTCTTTCCTTCTTTCTTTCTTTCTTTCTTTCTTTCTTTCTTTCTTTCTTTCTCTTTCTTTCTTCTTTCCTTCTTTCCTTCTTCCTTTCTTTATTTCTTTCTTCCTTTCCTTCTTTCTTTCTTTCTTCCTTTCTTTTCTTCTTTCTTTCTTTCCTTCTTTCCTCCTTTCCTCCTTCCTTCCTTCCTTCCTTCCTTTCTTTCTTTCGTTCTTTCGTTCTTTCGTTCTTTCTTTAAATGGAGTCTAGCTTTTGTCTCCAGGCTGGAGTACAGCGGCACGATCTTGGCTCATTGCAACCTCTGCCTCACGGGTTAAAACAATTCTGCTGCCTCAGCCTCCCCAGTAGCTGGGATTACAGGCGCACACTGCCACATCCAGCTAATTTTTGTATTTTTAGTAGAGACGGGGATTCACCATGTTGGCCAGGCTGGTCTCGATCTCCTGACCTCGTGATCCATCCACCTCGGCCTCCTAAAGTGCTGGGATTATAGTCATGAGCCACCACAACCGGCTGACCTAACCTTTCTTAAAACTCAGTAGTACACATGGTGCTTAGCAAAGCCTCCTGTGACTCATGACTGTGATTGTCACTCTGAACCCAAGATCACCAGTAAGGCAGAGTAGACATTATGATTCCAGTCCCCTTAACCTTGCTCTAATCTTTTTTTTTTTCCATAGCTTTTGACACCTTTTGACATACTGTATAACCTAGTTACTTATGTTTGTTGATTAAGCCTTATGAGGGCAGGTTTTTTTTGTTCATTATATAGGCCTAGCACCTAGCACAATGCCTGGTATACACCAGATACTCAATAAATACTTGTTAGATGAATGAATGAACAAATGTTTCTTTAGTATTTATTCAAGGCCAGGAGTAAAGGATTGTGAAGACCAGTAACAGAATTTCTACCGTTAAATTTCTTTGAGCCAAGGATGTGATTATGGTCATTTCTGAGATTGGTCCCTTACAGAGATGTCTTAGAGAAAGTTCCCAAATCACATCAGGAAAGAGGGGCTTAGAGAAGTTTATTTCCAGGGAGGTTATGTCTTAGCAATGACAATATAAAAGAAAGCTGAGTTTAATAAATTATATTTACACATGTGAAGGAAGATTGTGTTATTAACGGAGTGTTTGTATGTAGGGGTTGTCCAAAAAGAAGAATCCTCAGACAGAAATAATTTTTACAACTTAGTCTTCACTGTGGTCCAAGAAAGATGATACTATGAAGAGTGTGACCCCACAGTGCTCAAAGTAGCCTTAAATTAAATTATGCAGGATTACTGCTAAAATAGACCATGGTGGTAAGGGAATAAAAGGATTTTAATTTTGAATACAAACCACTTTATCCATGTAATTAGCATTGTAGTTTTAGAAATTTTAGCAAATAATAATCATTATTTGTTCTAGTATAATATCTAGTTAGCGTGCAGATATTAATTGAAAATAATAATCCAGTTCCTTTTAAATATGGCTAGCTATGTAAATAGAGAAGATTTCTAGTCATGTGCATCTGGACTCTTGTGTAATTTTAAGATTTTACAGAAGAATGGTATCTCATGAAAGAATTCACACATATTTTAGAATGTCTTCACATCTGCATGGTTTTGTCATGTTGTTTATTTTTCCTGGAACGCTCATCTTTTTTTTTGTCAGCCCTTGCAAATCCTCCTTGTCCTCCTAAAGCCGGCCACAGTCACATTTTCTCTCTGGCTTTTCTTGGCACTGTCTTCCTGCAACTGGTTCTCCCCCTTAAGGTTAATTGATTAATTGCTTCCTCCTCTGTGTTCCCAAAGTGTTTATCACAAGGTGTGGGTGTTATTTATTTACCTGCCTCTGAGTTTCAAGGGCATCTTCATCATCTTTGTTACCCTAGTGACTGGCACTGTTCTTGCAGCATAATACATGTTTAATAAATGGTTATTGAATTTGAGCATCAGAATATATTTTTACCTTGACCACTGATTCACCCAGCAAATATTTATTAAGGGCTTTTTATATGCAAGATACTGTGTTACGCGTTGTGAAGATACTACAAAGATAAATCAGATGCACAAGTCCTTGAAACTCTATAGTGTAATAAGGAATAATAAGTCATGCATTAAAACAACTATAATACATGATAGAAAATGTTGTTTTCAAGCTGATGTGTAGGTTATGTGTGTTTGAGAGAGAGAAGACAGATTACTTTCTGCTAGGGTTCAAGAATGCCTTCCTATTGGCTAAGGAAATATTTTCCTGAAGTGATTAAAAAGCTGTGTTTCAAAATATTCTTTTGATGTCTCACAAATTAAGTGGAATTCTGTCTTAGGTCTAAAAATACACATCTCTGTCACTTTAACTTGGTGTACTCTTGTAGATTATTGAATTAAAGCACTGCTCAGGGGTTATACTGCTACTTGCCAAGCGGTCTACATTTAAAGTAGAAATAAGATGTTTCTTTTGGTGCCATAAGGGATACATTTTATGCATTCTCTAGCTTTTAGAAGACACCCCAAAGGCTAAGTCTTTAACATGCTGTTACAAGTTTATTCCTAATTGCCATTGGGAAATTGGCTGAAGAAAGTTTTTGACAAAAGTTAACAATATTGTCATTGAGAGAATAATTCAAAATGGATTTTAACTAAAAGCTTTTTAAAACGTTGGTGAACATAGCTTGAATGTGTAATATTTAATTGCATTTAAGCCAATAACATACATACATATATATATATATATTAGACCGGCCTTTTTGTGCATCAAGGCATTAAATGTTAAAAGTTTGAATGATTACAGATTTTAACTGATGATCATCAAGCAATTTTTCTGTTTTCATTTAGACTTGGATTCTCACTTGCATTTATCTCCAACTGCTCCTATTTAATCCTCTCGTCAAAACTGAAGGGATCTGCAGGAATCGTGTGACTAATAATGTAAAAGACGTCACTAAATTGGTGAGTAAGGAATGCTTTAAAGTGCCGTGTAAAAAAGAGCTGTGGCTCTTTTTCCTGTGCTTGTTGATCAAAGATTTAGATTTTTCTTGCCCCAAAGTACTGTTTTCCTAAGGTGGGGAAAGGAATCATTGGGTTACTATAAAGGGTTTATAGAAAGCAGGTAGTGAGATATTTAAGGTCATGGATACTTTGTTGGTAAAACTGGCTAGTTGCACACCGCTGCTGTGACTGCTTATTTGCTGGTCTTCTCGCCCTCCTTCATAGGCAGTGAAGGACCTTGGAGAGTTCGCTGTGTGCTGATGGGCTTGCCCCGGCTTGTTCCCCATAATCTCTCCAGTGGGTTCTCCAGCATGTTCTATTTCCCCTTCACATGTCTTCCTACTCTTCTCTAAAAAGCCTAACGAAAGGAAATCTGAAATGGCTATTCTCCCCATTCCATCAGTATGAAGACCCTGTCACATGTCAGTGGGCGTTTGCTTCTTCAGGGAACATAGAGAGGTCATTCATTGCCCACATGCTGAAGGGACTCATCTCCCTGGTTTGTGACATTGAACTCTTCCCTCAGCGAAAGCCATTTGCATTGCTGCCCCTAAGTCACTGCCAGCTCCATGCTATGCTTTTCCAGGTGCTTTCTCTCAAGATCAAGCCACAGAGAGGGCATAACACGTCTGGAATGCATCCTTCCCAACCCTCGCGATCTAGGGGAGATCTTACATGCTTGTTTGAACCATGTATGATTTCAGGATGAACAAAGCTTGAGAAGCAATTTTTGTAAATTCCTGGTTATTTAAATACTCACTGGAGAACCGAGGTGATGTGAGAATAGGTAAGAAATGAGGGTTGTGATGTAGAGAAAGGGATGAAAAGTTTATTTGTTGGGGTAATAGGATAAGGAGTAGAAGGGGCTCTATTTATCTTCCCTCTTCTTGATACATATTTTCCGGTGTATATGTTTTATTTTGGGTTTATAATAGATCTTCAAAACAGAAGTTTAAGGCCACTGTTGAAGTCTTGCTAGCTTAGCCTCAATATAGAAGTAGAAACCTACAGACACAGTTTATACAAATTCCTTGGGACCCAGAGAGTTAAGGTTTAAAAGCATTCTCCCATACAGCAGCAGCAGATGTATCAGTATGTCTTACTTGAGGGAACTGTGAGCAAAGCCATGCAAGAGTTGCCTGATATACCCGGGTAGCTATTGTGTATAGGGTGGGGGTGAGGGGGGCATATTTAAAAAAAAAAAAAAAAACATACTGTTTAAAACAGATCATGTTTTTTTCCTTGAGTTGCTTGTTAGTTTGTGACCCAAGAAACAACACTAAAAGGACAGTATGTGTTTAAAATTTAACTTTTGTGCATGACCTGGGTTCTAGTCTAGACTTAACATGTGATGACTATGTGACTTTAGTCAAGGCACTTGACCTCTTCAAGCCTCAGTTTCTTCATCTGTTAAATAGAGATAATATGTCAGAGGGATCTGAGGATAAATTGTAATAATGTAGCCTAAGCCCATAGTGAGCACAGTGCCTGACACATAGTAAATATTTGGTAAGTGTTAGACACGGTTACTATTTTATGATTATGTGAACTTAGGGAAGAGGAACCATACCAAGTGCCTCAGTTCAGAGCTGAGATGAGTGTCGGGTGGCATTACTGGAAGTAGGATGGTAGTAAGCACCATGAGATCAGTTACTGCCTTAACTCCCATCTGACTACTTATGCCCATGCCTAAATTCATTTATCAATAAATTGTTCTCAGATTCTAGAAGCTATTGACAAGACTAAGCACAATAATACAGAAAATGTTATGGTAAACTTGTGTGAGATGACCTAGTCTAGCAAACATGCACATGATTTTAGCTTTCTGTAAGGAAGGAAGATAAAGATTTAGAGACAAGATGAAGGAAAGAATAAGTCTACAAAGCAAGACAGACCCTTGAAGATGTAATGGTGCAAAACTACTTTTGAACATATGTTATCTTAATACCCAATGGGCTCAGTCAGTTGTTGGCTAAATTATTCATCTGGGAATTTTAATGGTGATATAAGAGAAGGGTGGGGACAGCAAAGTAGAAGGTGTTCATTAAATGTTTGCTGCGTGAGTGAAGAAGAAGAAATGATGTGCTCCACTTAATGAGCATCACAATCACCTGTCATGCTGATGAAAATTATGCCTGTATTCGCAATAGCAAATACTTGGAACCAACCCAAATGTCCATCAGTAATAGACTGGGTAAAGAAAATGTGGCCCGTATACATGGTGGAATACTATGCAGCCATAAAAAGGATGAGTTCATGTCCTTTGCAGGGACATGGATGAAGCTGGAAACAATTATTCTCAGCAAAATATCATAAGAACAGTAAACCAAGCACCACGTGTTCTCACTCATAAGTGAGAATTGAACAATGAGAACACATGGACACAGGGAGGGAAACATCACGCACTGGGACCTTTTGGGGAGTGGGGTGCTGGGGGAGGGATAGCGTTAGGAGAAATACCTAATGTAAATGACGAGTTGATGGGTGCAGCAAACCAACCTGGCATGTGTATACCTACGTGTTGTTAACAAACCTGCACGTTGTGCACATGTACCCTAGACCTTAAAGTATAATAATAATTTAAAAATTGCAAGTGCCTGGACCTACAGCAAGAAACTGCTTTGATAAGTCTGAGAAAGGGATCCAAACATCTATGTTTTTAACAAATTTCTGAAAGGAGACTTAAGAGCAATTGCTCTAGATGGTCTCTTCTGTCATTGTTTAGAAATGAAAATGTCTTGACTCTTATTTAATCTCAACTCCTATTATGACTAGTTATCTGTGTTGTATAGATTTATAAAGATGCCAGATTAAAACAAATCTTCAAAATATGTTTACAGTAGGTCATTACTTTAGAATCAGCAGATCACAGTCTCTCAGGGAGTTATTTAAGGTGCAGCTCTAAGAGCATCACTATTCCGAATCTCAATTTGTGGAGATGAGGTGTAAGAACCATAATGTTTCCAACGAGCATCTACATAAAAGTTATTTATGTAGAAGTATCAGGACTGCTTAGGCAATAGTGCTTATTGTGTGTGTGTGTGTGTGTGTGTGTGTGTGTGTGTGTGTGTGTGTGTGTTTTAATGTTTGAAGTGGAGTGTTCCTATCCTAACTTATTAATTTCATTTATTCAAGCAGCAACATGAGTGACTGTTGAGATTTATGGATGGAGATAATCACAGCCTTTCTCTAAAGAATGCTGGGGCAGAGCATCTTGATGGAAGTCAGGATTACTGGGTTGTTTTAATGCCAGCTCCACTATTATTTGGCTGTGTGGCCTTGGACAAATCACTGAATCTTTCTGGCATTCAATTTCCTAGTTTTTCAAGTGAGGAACATGGACATGATCAATAGGTCTTAATCTAGGACTGATAAACTTCAAATGCTTACACATGAAGTTCAGAATTGTGCTGCCTTTGTATGCCTTATGTTCATTTCTGAGGAGAGTGTGTAGGTTTTATCATTTCTCAGATAAATCTATGGCCCCAAAGAAGATGAGAACTACTAAATTAGAGAAATTTGGAGGCCCTTTTCAGCTTTGAAATTATTTTATTCCATAATGATGTTTTTTTTTCAGGTTGCATCTCTTGGAATAATTCAGTAATGACTCGACTAAAGGAGGTTATATAGGATGAGAGGAACTTGCTTTGCAGACATAACCTTGCTACATTTTATGTGAGGGAAAGGAAGTGGCCTGACAGTTGATTTTTGCCTGTACTCACAGTTATTCCTTCAATGGAAATCATTCCTTTGCAGCCCCTACCAGTTCCGTCTTTGCATTAGGTGGCAACTTGCACTGTGCCCACACACTTTATTTACTTGAAGTGATTCTCATGTCACAGAAGCACATGATTTATGACTTTAATGTCAATTGTTTTAAATTTCTTCTTGAACACTTTATACTGCCCCTACAGTCCCCATGGTTTTCATTTGAATTGTTTCTGGCACGTTTACTAAGCATAATAGTTCATCTATTTACAGAACATTTTACTTTGTTTCTAAAAAAAGTGTTGCAAGACTTGTTTTAAATGGCAAACTCAGACTTACCTAAAGAAAGGGTCAAGTATCTGGGAAGAGGATGAATCAAGCTTTCATAACTTGTATCTATGGGATAGTTAGGTTGCAGCTTTTAGCAGTTGTAATTGTTCATATAAGAAGGAAATTCAAATATTGAAAGAGTTCAAACTAGTTTTCTCTGTGTATTCTCCCTCCTCTTCTCTTTGTTTGTGATGATGTTGTTTCTTCATTTGAGGCAGTTTAACTCAATATGATTTTGCTGCTAAAGAGAAAAAATGTTTTTGTCTTTAACTTTCTATTGGGTAATGACTTATCTTCCTCAAAACGTTTCTTAAGGTCCCGTCCCCATCTCGTAAAGGTGGAATTATTCTGTCTTTTCAAGGTCAGTCTACAAATTAGTAAGATAGCATTAGAACAAAGGAACCTATTGTTTTCCTGGTCTTGTCGTGGGCAGTTAATTCAAGTTGGCTATATTTATACATGATTCATGGAGATTAACATAATAAGAGATTATAAAAATATCCTCAGATAACACATTTTCACACTTTGAATAGACAGTCTTTATTAATTCTGATTATTTTTCTCTTCAAATATTATATTTCTCAAATAGAATTACTACTGCATTAAAGTGAAGAATTGGAGTCCCTGAATGTCCCCATTTCTGGATGAATTCTTTTCTTCAAATGACCTGTGTATATCATTAATAGTGAAGATTTCACATAATTTTGTTTGACCTTTGAAAAATAATAGTTTGAAAGATAGTTTTCAAATTTTATTTTATTAGGTTGCAATATTTAGCATTTTAACTTCTGCTCCTGTGGTCAGCAAAAAATTTGTTCTCTATTTAAAGCTAAAATTTAAGGACATTTTATATTTTTTAAAAAAAGGACTATTAGAAATAATATGTATTAAAACTCTCTACATAGATTGCTATATTATTAAGA